CAGTTTGCGACCAGAGAGGATATGATTTTGGGAATCCATGAACAAATAGACTGAATCGAGTTCGCATTGGAGCGTTTTCCCATCGTCTTCGCTTCTGCAGCCACCAGGAAACGCAATAAAAATCGGAATACTTGTAGCAGCAGTTAAAACCGTTCGTCCAGTCAGCAAAGATGTAGAATGCTGGATAAAAGCTGAATTGGTGGATCTATACAGACAATATGGAAAAATGACTTCCACGCAAAGTTTCCGGCTCAACACAGAACGTTTGGTTGCATTAAAAGGGATAATCAATCCAAGACGGATCTCATCATTATACACCCCGATAAAGGATTTAGCGCAGTGTTTCTTGACCAACCAAATCGTGATCGCGGAATGAAACCTATTCTGAGTGTTTCTACTAAGTTTCCGGCTGAACCATCGTGTGATGATCCAAAAGACTTGGAGCAGAAAATCACCACTGAAATTCAGTTCGTTCTCTAAGGCCATTTTTATTTCATCGATGAGATTGCACCAGGAAAACTGAGGACGTGAGGAAGCCTCTCCCTGCAGCTGTATGGACTGCCAAAATTACACAAACCTGGTGCTACACTGAGACCAATCCTTTCATTGAGGAATTCATCAAAAACACCAATTTTCAAAGTGGCTTACAAAGGTATTACAAGCAGTGAGGAATTCTATGATTCAACATACTGCAAAAAACCTCTTTGACATGGTGAAATAAGTAGAGCAACTAAACATTCGCAAGAAACACATGGCTTCGTTGGACGTGGAACTATCATTGACCATTGTTTTTGTTCATGAAGGTATTCGAATAATTTGTGATCAAACTGAAACAGAAAAAGTGAGAACTGGTCTCCCGGCCTTCGCTTTGAAGAGATTCTTACTAGTGTGTACTACAATTGTCTCCGTAACATTTCAAGGTAAGATATATAGACAAGATGATGGCATGGTCATGGAAAGGCCTTTGGGCTCGGTTGGTACCAATGGGTTTATTCATGGCATATTTGAAATTTCGAGCTTAGAATGTACTTAAACGAGCTACGTTATGCAGAAGATACGCCGATAATATTCTCATTATCAGAGATAATCTAAAATAAGCCAATAAAATCCTTAAAGATCTTAATTGACTGCATTCGAACATATGATTCTGCATGAAAAGTGAACAGGAAAAACAGCCTGGGTTCCCTTAACATAAACATCATTCGAGAGCCAGGTGAAACCATGTCAAGATCGGTCTATCATAAAGCAACCTGGACAGGTCAGTGCATACATTTTGGAAATTGTGCACCAATTATGGTCTTGTGCATATTCTATTCGATAGATGGGGTCGAATCCGCTCTGAAGACACGATACAAAACGAGGTGAGTTTGTTGCATTACATTGACACGAAATGACTATCCCAAAGAATTTGTTAACTGGAACAGTAAAAAGTGAAGATTGAAAAGTCCGTTTTTACTTCAGCCTCTCGACTGTCAGTCGAGAGGCTGTTTTCTATTCAAAATGATGATGGTACTGTGTTGAGTCAGTCCCACGCCTTCCAGTTTCCGAATCCTTGAGGTATGGACCAACAGTATAGATCAGTCAACAGCGAGACAATGCAAACAGAAGACGAGGGACTCGCAAAACGAGAAGGGCGATTGCTTGATATTCGTTTGCCCCATGATATTTCCATTCAGACATTATTTAATCCCATTGACTTCTCTCAATAATCGAACCGCTAATTCTATAGCCTTTTACCAACATCTCGATGACAAGAAATTCCGGCGTACAATTGCCAGTGTGCTTCAGTTGCGACCGTGTTTCGTGATCCAAAATTCATATCTACTTCGTTCACTACTTATTTATCCCATCAAATTTAGGATCGGTTGTCAAACGGACTTACTAAGCAGCCAAACCCATAATAGTTTACAGTCATCATCATCATCGTACAGCGAAATACAGTGAAGCAAACTACACTGATCGCTGCCAAACTCGCAGTGCATACAAGGTTAGTGGTAAAGTTTAAGTTGGACAGGGATTGGATCTATTTTGAGGAAGGGAGAAGAAGGTGAACCTCTATGATCGGCACACAGAGTACACAATCGAACCCCAATCGTACTTTCTCATTGAAAACTTTTCATCATTAGACCAATCAACGGACCCAGGTGAGTTTGGTCTCTAAACGTGGCAACTGATGCATAGATAAGAGCCGGGTTCATTTAACAGGTACACACAGTAATATCTAGTACATTTCCGTTTTAAATTGTCTTCTAAAGATCTTCATTTGCGTTACTTATAAGGAAGGTAGACAATTCCCTAGCACTGGAAGCCAATCGAAGAAATTCTTACGTCAGTGACAAAAGCATACTGCCGAATTTGAATGGATTGGACACTTGGAGTTCTTATTGAAATAAAGTCAGAAAAGAAATCACTTAAAACAAATACACGAGGACAGTGGTGCTTCAATATCATGTGGAATTATAGAGTTCTATTGTAATCTATTAGTCACTAGCTGGAGCTAAATCTCTTTTAGTGTAGGAAAACACGCACTGGATTGTTGTATAGTCTCAAAAATCAATGGCTAGATTCAACCATTGTCCAAGAAGCCTTCCCAAGCTATCATTGAGCTCCAGTCGTGCAACCAATGTGGATGAAGTTCCATTGCGCAAGATTCACATGAATCCCGGTTTCTTGAATGTATCAGCTGGTGTATAAAAAAATACAATATTTCCATTCCTAAAGAACCAACGATGATTGTTTAAGAGCCCATAGCGCTTTTTTCAGATTGGTTAGCCACAGTCTCCGAAATGCTACTAAATCTGAAATCCCTGTCATGGGTTATTAAATGACCAGCATTATCTGTACCACCACCCCTCCTACAACCGGTTTATCCATTACCTTTTACTGCCTTACTATACGTTCCTTTCTCTCATATTTTCACTTGTGTTTCTCTTGTGGTAATCTTTTTCAACGTTATCTATCCCAAATTCCAGCCAATCCTAATCAATTCCAACTTCTCTATCACTACTCTTCTATTAGTGCAAACCTTTTACTACATTAAGCTTTAAACGGAGAACGTTAAACAGAACATTGTTTTGGCCTCTGCCTAGTCATCTTTTGCTGTGCTTTGCACATTTATCGTCCGTTTATTATTTAAACTGAACGCCTCTATTTGAACGCTTCGTGGCGATCCTGCATACACCTTGATTCAGTAGTTGGCCTGAACCTCGTTGTCTCACTGTTGCAGCATGTTCTGTTTGCACTACTGTGTGACTTATCTTTTTTATTTCACACAGAACCGCATTTTTCCCGTAATCCACAGGGTTTTGACCATTTAGGTTTACTTCGGATCGTGCACCTACCTGTATTTGTATAATCGGAAATTCTGTATAACTAACAATCATTGATGTCTGTTGCATATTTCTAGTGATCTCATGAATTGTTTTCATCTGAACCTACTGCGCGCACACCAAACCATCAAACAGCTGCACGGACCATTTTATAATCTTTAAACAAATCAACCTTTATGTTTGTGAATACATGAAATGATATATAAAAAAATTGCTCTTCGCGTTTCCACTTAGCTGCTGATAACAGTGGAACGAAATTACAGTGCGGGTTGATTTAATCGATCAAGGTGGAATTGGTTCACGACTGCAACACTCATATTCACTTGTACTAATAACCGATTACCACAGCGAAAAACAAGACAAAACACACATATAGACACGGAAGCAGTTCTTTATACTGTTTTGGGCGAATACATCGAATAGCTTTTCGAGCACACTACACTGAGACTGAACTCGAACGGAAACGTGTGTGTGGGGGAGGAGACTTGACGGGAAATAGAAAGAGTTGTAAACGACCGGAATCCGCGCTTGGAACAAGACAAAGGGAGCAAGTAAAAACAATAAAGGTTAAAGATGAATAGATTTGTCAACAACACAGTGGGAGTCTGGTTCGATGTCCTGTCCGAACATGTTTCATAGTCAGTGCGGGGAAGAAAACCAAGTGCAGGTCGGAATCGATAAGCGTGAATTTTTGGGGACGGGGAAAAAACAGTTGAGATGCGGACCGATGTGATGCGACCGGGTTAGGAACGGTCGGAAGTGGGGACAGGGTTGTTGCATACAAAGATTTTGGTCGAAACTAACGAAATGTGAATTGGTATGATTCGGAGAGGGGTAGTGGGCCGCATCTGAAATTTCACGTACAAAATGTGCGCTACTGATAATAATTTCAGTAGTCAAGTCCGGTAAATCAAATTAAAAATTGGTCATGCCTTCTTTGCCGCACAGCGGGGTTCTCAGCCTNGTGACGAGGATAATGGTAATACGATTGCTGTTTGTGTTCTTTCTGTCGGTGCTCTCGTGATCAAGCTTAACGTACTGGTCAGTGTTATACGGTGCCTCTTCATCCGATAAGTTCGGCTTGCATGGGGTTTGAAGAACGCATCTGGAAGGCTTGCACTTGAAATCGATTGGGGGTCATTTTACTGACCTACACTTGAGCAATCGTCATAATGCTCGAGTGAAAAAATGTCGGACGGGTGCCAGCACATCGGGAGGGAATTTGGAAGAGGAGATGGGGTCATCTTTGCAGTTCAGAATTTGCGGGAAAGATGAATGCTCAATTGATAGATAAAGGTTAAACTTGCTTGAAATGAATGGGAGGAATTCGTGACCAAGCGCGGTATTTCGGTCGTTTAGACGACATTTTTCGGACATAGTCTGCTTCGGTTCCTGAAAATAAAACACATTGGACAGGGATATCATAAACGATAGCATAATAAATCAAATTTTACAGACAATATTAGCAAACTGTTCGTTGAAGTTCCAGATAGGGCCGAATAACCTACCTTACTCTTCGTCTGGTGCAATACTGGCAGCTGGTCTGCGAGAACGGCTCTGAAATGTTAAAAAGAGAAAGGAATAAAGTCGGACTGAGTAATCTGATTTGCATAATGCTGTGTTGAAATTGTGTGTGACTTAAATTAATCCGAAGGATTGTTAGGGAGGTGGTTACACGAGTGAATGACTTACAGCTGGACCACTGGCTGGAGCGGCGCTGACACCTCGACTAGCGGACACAGACGAACGGTTCTTGGCACGGAGTTTCTGTAGAGCCTGTTCAGCTTCATCAGCACGGGCTTCTGCATCCTCAATTTCGTTCTGGATCTTACGGTATTTGGCCAAATTGATAGCAGCAATTTCCTCAGCCTCTTCAACCTGTCGTTTGTAAGTCATGATCTTTCCTTGCAGTTTCTCCACCATTTCTTGCATTCGTTCATGGTTCTTCTTATCCTCTTCGCCCTGCATAGAAAGAGAAATAAAAGCGTAAACAGAACACCGCAAGATATCGAAATCATTCATATATTGAATTAATGAGACAAAGGAGTCTGTTTGTCTCCGGAACTCACCTGCATGGCGATTTCCTTCATGCGTCGGTCCACCTTGCGCAGGTTCTTCTGCGTCTCACCATGGCGGCGTTGTTCAGCTTCCAATTCGGTTTCCAATTCCCGGACGCGTTGTTCCAATTTACCCACAGCTTTGCGGCCGTTCTTCATTGCTCCAGATTCACTGTCTTCCAGACGAGCTTGCAATTCTTTGACCTAGATGAAAGTACATTAGTGAGATGAAAAACAATTGAGTGTTTGCGGCAAGGACGTGTCCGTGTCTGTGTGTGTGTGTGCGATGGAAAAGGGAAAAATAAAGAAGCATAGATTCAATCACTCACTTGCATCTCCAATTGTTTGCGGGCCTTCTCCACATGTTGTGTATGTTCCTGTTCCTGGCGGATCTCCTCGAACACACGAGCACTGTCAGCCATGGCCTTCTTAGCACGTTCGTCTGCTTGTTTGGCCTCATTTGCAGCCTCCTCAAGATCAGCTTGCATGGCAGCCAGATCAGCTTCCAGCTTGCGTTTCTGGGCGGACAACGAGGCATTTTGAGTGGACAATTCAGTGGCACGGTCGGAGGCTTCGGCACGTTCGGATTCGGCCATCTTGCGGGCACGTTCAGCTTGTTCCAATGAGGTTCGCAGCTCGTCGAGTTCGCCAGCCAACATTGTGGCACGACGATCAGCTGCTTGGAATTGTTCACGGATATCGTCACGTTGGCGTTGTTCGTCTTCCAATTGGCTTTGAACTTCACGGACCTGTTGTTGCATCTTCTTCACGNCGGGCACGTTCAGCTTGTTCCAATGAGGTTCGCAGCTCGTCGAGTTCGCCAGCCAACATTGTAGCACGACGATCAGCCACTTGGAATTGTTCACGGATATCATCACGTTGGCGTTGTTCGTCTTCCAATTGGCTTTGAACTTCACGGACCTGTTGTTGCATCTTCTTCACGTTCTTCTCCTGCTCAGCACGCATGCGGTTCGCACTGTCCAAAGCGACTTCCAACTCGTTGATATCCTGCTCCAACTTCTTCTTGACCTTCAATGCTTCAGCTTTGCCCTTGGCCTCGGCTTCCAGGCTAGCCTGTTGCGACTCCAAGGCGCGCTGGTGGTTCTTGCGTGTAGCCTCGAATTCTTCTTCTTTCTCGGCAAGACGTCGGTCGATCTCCTGGCGTACCTGGCTCATTTCCAATTGGGCACGCTGCAACTTGGCTTCCTCTTGTTCCAAAGCGCTCTCAGCTTCTTCCAGGGCAGATTGTAATTCTTCTTTCTCCATTTCCAATCGTCGACGAGCCTTGTCGATTTCGTGCACTGAGCGGCCACCCTCACCAAGTTGTTCAGTCAGATCGTGGATCTCATCTGAAGAGAGATAAGCCAATATAGTGCACGTGTTTGTGTGCCAGAAGGGTAGGGGTATTGTGGGGGTGGAGAGCAAAACAAGACAAGATGATTATCTCGATCATAGTTGGGCAGGTATCATGGAGATGAGTGAATCGTTCAATGAACTGATCAAACGTACCGCTCAAGTTCTTGTTCTCTCGTCGGACACCCTCGATCTGGTCATGGGCTTCTTCCAGTTGAGCCTTCAAGCGGAACAACTCAGTCGATTGGGTGCGGGCATCGCGTTGGGCATTTTCCAATTCAGCCTGGAGGGAAGAGAAAAGGTGACCAGAAATGATTGATTTAAAGCGTTCAGAAGAATTTGAGGCTTTGCACATTGAGTTCTAACATACACCACACTTTGATGCGGCACTTACCTGTGAGTCGGCAAACTTCTTTTGCCATTCAGCCAAAGTGCGATTGAAGTTGGCTTGTTTACGTTCCAGTTGGCTGGCCATTCCGTTGGCCCGTTCTACATCAACCATCAAGTCTTCCAACTCTCCTTGCAAACGTGCTTTGGTCTTTTCCAGTTGTCCACATTTGGATTTGGTCGATTCCAGCTCGGATTCGAGTTCTTGAATCTTGGCGTTCAGACGGCGTTTCAACTCGTCCATTTCTTCGGAGCGCACGTCACCGCCACCACCGCCACGGCTACGGAGCTGTTGCAGTTCGCCTTGCATCTTTTGCAATTGACGTTGCAGATCAGCTTTACCAGATTGTTCCTCTTCCAAAGATTCACGTAGGGAATCTAAGTCGCTAGACAAATTGCGCACTTCAGAGTTCAACTTGGATTTCATCTGGACAAACAAGGGAAAAACGAAATAAACAGAACGTGAATTTAAACGGAATTATGACACAATCATTCAATCCTTTGCATTAATACTGGAAATATGCATGCATAAGTGTATGCTGTTAAGCAAGAAGGAACAACGTACGCGGGATTCTTCTTCCAAGTT